CAAATCACCTGTGAGGTTTCAGTATGTGTCTTTCGTCACTCAAAGCGTCTATTTGTCCGGCACTGTCCAACATCACTTAACTTGTGATATTTCAGTATATCGCTATCCCCACGCAGCGCGCCTATGTGTCTGGAAAACTCGAAACCCATCCATCTGAGAGGTTTCACTGAGCAGCTATCCTCACTCAACACGTCTATGTGTCCGGCACTGTCCAACATCACTCAACTCGTGAGGTTTCAGTATGTAGCTATCCCCACGCAGCGCGTCTATTTGTCCGGCACTATCCAACATCACTCAGATCGTGAGGTTTCAGAGTAAAGCTATCCCTACGCAGCGCGTCCATGTGCCTGGCCATCTCCAATACAAATCCATCTGTGAGGTTTCAGTAAGCAGCTATCCTCACTCAACACGTCTATGTGTCCGGCACTATCCAACATCACTCAGATCGTGAGGTTTCAGAGTAAAGCTATCCCTACGCAGCGCGTCCATGTGCCTGGCCATCTCCAATACAAATCCATCTGTGAGGTTTCAGTAAGCAGCTATCCTCACTCAGCACGTCTAAGTGTCCGGCAATCTCCAATACAAATCACCTGTGAGGTTTCAGTGTTTGTCTTTCGTCACTCAAAGCGTCTATGTGTCCGGCACTATCCAACACCACTCAACTCGTGAGGTTTCAGTACGTAGCTATCCCCACTCAGCGCGTCTATGTGTCTGGCAAACTCAAAAACCAATCCATCTGTGAGGTTTCAGTATGCAGCTATCCTCACTCAACACGTCTATGTGTCCGGCAATCTCCAATACAAATCACCTGTGAGGTTTCAGTATGTGTCTTTCCTCACTCAAAGCGTCTATGTGTCCGGCACTATCCAACATCACTCAACTCGTGAGGTTTCAGAATGTAGCTATCCCCACGCAGCGCGTCTATGTGTGTGTCTGGAAAACTCGCAACCAATCCATCTGTGAGATTTCAGTATGCAGCTATCCTTCAACACGTCTATGTGTCCGGCAATCTCCAATACAAATCACCTGTGAGGTTTCAGTATGTGTCTTTCCTCACTCAAAGCGTCTATGTGTCCGGCACTATCCAACATCACTCAACTCGTGAGGTTTCAGTACATAGCTATCCCCACGAAGCGCGTCTATGTGTCTGGCAAACCCAAAATCCAATCCATCTGTGAGGTTCTAGTATGCAGCAATCCTCACTCAACACGTCTAGGTGTCCGGCACTCTTCAATACAAATCACCTGTGAGGTTTCAGTATGTGTCTTTCCTCACTCAAAGCGTCTATGTGTCCGGCACTATCCAACATCACTCAACTCGTGAGGTTTCAGTATGTAGCTATCCCCACGCAGCGCGTCTATGTGTCTGGAAAACCCAGAAACCAAACCATCTGTGAGGTTTCAGTAGGCAGCTATCCTCACTCAACACGTCTACATGTACGGCAATCTCCGATACAAATCACCTATGAGGTTTCAGTATGTGTCTTTCCTCACTCAACACGTCTATGTGTCCGGCACTATCCAACATCACTCAACTCGTGAGGTTTCAGTATGTAGCTATCCCCACGCAGCGCGTCTATGTGTCTGGAAAACCCAGAAACCAAACCATCTGTGAGGTTTCAGTAGGCAGCTATCCTCATTCAACACGTCTACATGTACGGCAATCTCCGATACAAATCACCTATGAGGTTTCAGTATGTGTCTTTCCTCACTCAACACGTCTATGTGTCCGGCACTATCCAACATCACTCAACTCGTGAGGTTTCAGAATGTAGCTATATTCACGAAGCGCGTCTATTTGTCTGGCAGACCCAAAAAAAAACAATCCATCTGTGAGGTTTCAGTATGCAGCTATCCCCACTCAGCGCGTAAATGTGGCCGGCAATCTTCATCACAAATCACCTGTGAGGTTCTGTATGTGTCTATCCTCATTCAACGCGTCAATGTGTCCGGCACTCCAACATCACTCAGCTCGTGAGGTTTCAGTATGTAGCTATCCCCACGCATCGCGTCTGTGTCTGGCAAACCCAAAAACCAATTCATCTGTGAGGTTTCAGTATACAGCTATTATCACTCAACCCGTCTTTGTGTCCGGTAATCCCCTACATCACTCAACCTGTGAGGCTTCCGTAAGCTATTCTCACTCTACGCATCCATGCGTCACGCGTCTTTGGTAGCGCATACTATGGGGGCTATATTTGGGGTGGCGTGTTACACAGCGCTTTGCCAACAGCGCCAACCCACTTAAGTATAGAATGGGGGGGCCAGGGCGGGGGGTGATATATTGTGTAATGTACGACACTGACCATCATGTTGGCACCGTTGTACTTTTTGCGGGGGAGATTGGGGCTGGGGGTGTGAAATCTTCTGTCGCCTACATCCAATATGGATATTCGGAGTTGTTGCAGCAATATTGCAATAAAGCATCTCGTCCGTGGACCATGGACCATCAACGGATGTGGGTGGACGCGTTCGTGGACCACCGTCCATGGACGTCAACGGACAATTGTCGGTGGACGTCCATGGACTTGTCCACGGGCGTCCACGGACAACGACCGCGGGCGTCTTTCCGGTGTCGATGGATGTCCGTGGACGTGTCCCACGGACGCGTCCATAGTAATGTCAAATAATGTAAATCATTGCATAAGAAAGGCCTCATCTGCCTGGCGAGTGTTCGGGCACGGACAAGGCAAGCACTCAAGAGAAGGAACACAAGCAAGACAAAAATGAAGCAACAGTAGAACAACAACGAAGGGCGAGTGAATAACACCAAAAAGTTAGAAACGGGAACAATAAGGGCGACAACCAACCTGCTGCCAGTCGGCATGTATCGCGTGGTGATGGAGGCCTCGGCATCAAAGAGGGCCTCGATGTCACCGAAGGATTGGATGTTGGTGGTGCCGTCGGTGTCAATTCATTCGACCACCGTTCTCGCGCAAGTCTTTAACATGGAGAATGGAAAGAGGTGATGGGGAGAACCGTTTATGTAGATCGCAAGTGTCTATGTTAATGGTTCCGAAGGTACGGCTACCTGGCAGATTTCCCGCGAACATAGTGAATGAAGTGATGATATCGCAACAAACAGCATCCAAAGTGCGTGGACTAGCTGTATCACGTTGTTGGCTCGTCGTTGTTGCTTTACCGGCAAGACCGTCCCTCGAAGGCAGCATTTAGAAAACTCACGTAATCGGCGATGCTTGGGTCGAGCGGCGGGCACTCGCATACGAAGCGCCGGATGTGCTCGTTGCTTGTTCTCCTTCACGAGGCACTGCAAAAGTCCGGGGACAGGGAAGGAACAGGACAACGTGATAACGTAGACAAGGTAAACGATGACAGCAGCATAGCAATTGCTAGTGAGAGATAGAGGGAAGAACAAAACAAGAAGGCAACCAACCATGCCCTCGGTGTCGCATCATTGCCATCGAATGGAGGTCGAGAATTCACTCCGTGAGGATTTCGTGCCGTGCGCTTCAGTGATGGCGACGGCCTACGCACCAGACGGCTGGAAACACGAACCAGAAACGGTCGATCACCCAAGTCTTTTTCGCCGTACTGTTGTACACATTACACGAACAACGCAAGCGAGGGCCGGGTTGAAACTCCATCAAAGCCAAGACTCGACGATCGTGCGTCCGCTCGCCAAGGCGTGGACGGCTGGCTACTCACCACGAAAGAACAGGGAAACGCGTCAGTTTCACACGTATCTGTCGTCCGTTGGACAATAAGACAGGACAGGAAGAGGGCTGATATTCACTCCTCATCTAACGGATACGAAGTATTGCGTGACAGTGAGTCACTTACTTCACCGGTAAAGCAGTTGAAGTACTGGGTCGCGAGCCTGTGTGTAATCTCGATGCCATGATAGCCTGCAAAGCAGGGTTGTTATTGCAACAAACATGCAAGCGGTGTTGGCGCAGAGAACCAGACTGCGAGTACAAGTATCGCCAGAACCACACCGAAGAGGTTCGCGAGGGAAGGGGGTGACTGGAGAGAGGTCCGAGAGCGTGGAAAGGTGGACCCTCTTCCAGATACTGCGACTTGCAAGACGTGACTATCTGTCTGATGTAGACCACTGGGTCGATGACCTTGCATTCACACACCCGGGGTCTTTGGGCCAAGAACCGCCGTGGCGTGTGTGGTGTGGCTTTGACTATTTGCAGCCTTCGTCTACCCTTGAAGCCTAAACAACAAACAAATGTCTCGAGTAAAAAATATTCACTGGACGGATGTAGCGGCTCACACCAGATACGTGGCACTGACCACCATAACTCGGCAATGAATCAACGGCTCAAAGATACCGTTAAAACTCACTGTACAGAGAGCGCCCTTCTAGCTGTGACCTTACCAATACAGCAGCACGGGCTTGACTGGGATAGAAAGGGCCGCTGACGGGAAAGGTTGTAGATGTCATGTCCACTGGTACGCCATTCACGGCATATCTTCCACCACAACATCAAACGAATGACGCGAAAGCCCACACATGTGTAGGCGAGAAGCGGCAACACAAATCGAATCTCGTTCACAACCAAAAACAAATACATCACTAGGCGTCGAAGGTGTTTTCGCCAGGGTAGCACGCCACGAGGTTTTGCGCCGCCGAGTCGAGGCAGTTCTCGTTGAAGAGACCCGTGATGCCGGGCGTTACCATTGAGCGCCAGTTGTAATTGTCGCCGTCCCACATGCCGGTCATGAGAGCGATCTGCACGTTACCTGAACAACGTTCTGTTGGCGGGGAGAGAACCAAGATCTTGTTTCGTTGAGTGGTAGGTGGTCTCGCCATCCCACGTGCGGACCATGAGAGCGATTTGCACGTCACTCGACATACGTGGAACCGCAGCGATTCGCAGATGTGTGCTCATGCACTCATATTTTCCGTGCTGTATTGATTTATGGTCGAACCACCCGCTTGAGTCCTTGCCAGCAATAAAGACTATATCGGCTCTCCACTGATGTCAACCAGTCCGGTGACCAATGCACGAGGCGTCATTGGGCTTGGCAATGTGGTTTTCCGGGAATGTGAATCTCGTAGCGTACGATTCTCATCGGTGTTCTCGGTGACGCAGTCCGGCTCGCGCAGCTGGTCGCGGGACAGGTGGATGAGGATGTGGTGGCCGTGGTAAAACGAAGAAGGCGAGTCGAGGTAGCTGATGAGCCCCGCGAGAAGGTCGTCGTTGGCCTCCCAGGTGCCGTCGGAAACGTCTTGCTGCATGAGAGGGACGTTTGTGGCGAGCCAGTTGGTGTCGTGCACATTCACGTGACCTGAAACCACGGGAGGGAGTGCGTCGGTGAGGCAATCGGGGCGGGATGGGTGGTGTATTATCTGAGCGAAGAGTAAGAAGTTTTTGACGATGCAAATTCAATCGTGGAGTCTATATTCTCGGCGAGCATATTTCGTTCATATATGATGTGTTCATGTGCCATGACATTGAGGGCTCTACATCACAAAATCTTCAGATACGCAAAACTTTGACAAGGTTCCTGTGAGTGGCAATCAAAGCGATCCCATGACGCCAACGTTTGTTCCGAGCCTTTGTGAGAAATGCTATTCTTCTGCGCATGTACCGGGACGCAAAGTCGTTTGCCGATTGTCATGGGGTTACGCGCATGTAGTACATGATGTACCGGCAGAGGTCTTCGATTAGGAGGTCAGGGAGATATCAAGGACCGAAAATAGTATCTGAACAGCCAACTTACCGTCCGTACCACTTGCCCTTGATCGTCACCATCGTCACCATCGTCTCCTCGTAGTTAGGAACGTACGTAATGCCGTCGACCGATTGTGATACTTGTTCGGTGGTGTCACAACGCCGAAAGAACACGTTCGATTGTACAGTATCCACCCTGAAACATCAGCATGAGTCTGTCGTAAGCCGACACAGATATCCAACCAGCGATGTGTTCACTCGACCACACCATGGCAGGTTGGAGAACCGGCCGCAGAGCACAGGTCGTCTACAACTGCTGCCAGGCAGAAGCGGCGCTCTTCCTAGCCTAGTCCGGGATGGAGCATCGTTGGGGGTATCATGTAGCAACTCAGTAGATTCTTCGCCTTGAATCACTTGACCACTGTTGACCAATCGCGTGTCTCTCAGGCAACGGAAAAGCGTCCATACCCCGGATAAGGTTGGGGTTGGAGGTGTTGTAGGACCTTTTGAGTCTCAAACCATGCGTTGGGCGAAAGCGTGCTCCACGAGTAGGGAGAGGTCGGGGATAGGGTAGAGGTGATCCCGCGTCTGCCAGTGGGCAACATCATCCATCACCACCAACCAACGTTGGGCATCCACCTGAAACACATACACGAAAAGCCAATTGATTGCACATAATATCACGAGCTTGAAGACCATGTTTTGTGTGCATCGCTGCACAGCGGTCACAACGGCGTCGAACACCGAAAACTGTGGCAACGGCATCAGGGGAGCATCACCAACGACAACACGCCCACATGAAGATGCCCTTGGTTGCCCACTCGTTGAAACAGTGCGCCCACGGTCACGCGCCGGCGTCGAACCGGCCGATGGTGAAGAACACGTGCAACTCCTCGTGGCCGTCGGCACCGGTGTAGCTGAGCATCCGAACTTTTTCCTGGCCACCCGCGGCACCGGATAGGTAAGGCTCGCTGTCACTGTCGACGTACCTGAAAAAGCCGGGGGACAGGGTTGATGGGGGTGGTCAGGAAAGTGTCCGAACGAAGCGTTCCAACTATGGATGTTTTGTGCTGATGGTATCGGCCACCAAATATTCCAGACATAGAGCGGTAGAGCAAGCGGCTAGTTCGAGGCCTTCCCTCTGTTGTTTAGTGTATGGGGGCGAACGTTTTGCCCATCACAAAAAAACAAACCCAACGCAACGCCGCCACCGCGAAAAAGGAAAACATACTGCGCAAGGACCTCGACCCCTTCCTCAGGACCCGCGTTGGTGATCACCGGGTAGCTGAACAGGGAGGGCTTGAAGAGGTTATGGTCGGTCTTGAAGCCAGGTTTCGTGATGGACACCTTTTCCCCACCAGGGTCTACATGGGCATGTGATCGAAAGCAACAATTGAAAGAGGGGCAGCAGGTACAAAATGGAAGGAAAATGAAAGGAGAAAGAGAAAACACCAAAATATGCATATGAGAAGTAGTCTCGAAAGACAGCAGTGAGAGATCGACGGGACTAGAGGAGAATGGGGCAAGGAGAACAAAGGTTGCATGACAAGAAACTGCCAACAACACGGAGACGAAAACAGGGGCCGCAGCGGGTGTTCGTGTGAGCTAGAAGCGCGGGGTGGCTTCGCTGGTTCGCCCTACACATGTACCACTTGTCATATTGCTGCCACCGTTCTTAGAAACGAGGGTTTGGTAAGAGGTGAAACTCACCGCTGAGCTGCACGTACGCAGGCGTCACGATGTCGCCAACGAAGTACGTCTGGACCCCGAGCTTCGTCGTAAAACTCTCGGTGGTGTAGGTCAGAGCGGACGGGAAGTACACGAGACGGACCTGCACAAAAGATATGGAGCGAGCGACACGGGAATACAGAGAGAGATCGCACGCAACGACGACGACAAGGTGAAGGACCAGATGCAGTCCGGGATTGACATTCACACATGCCACCACACGAAGGCTTCTTGGCTCTCAGATTTCAAGTTGACGTTCGAAGTTCTGTGTGAAAGTCAACACTAGCACAAGGCACGGCAACACTAGCGCACCACTGCACAATACAACAACGTGACAGTCAGTGGGACACCACAGTACATTTCCCGCTCGACTATGTTAATGGTGATTTTACATAACTTCACAGCGCACACGAAGGCCGTCTGCGATCTACTCCAATGAGAGGAAAACAACGGTGTGACACGCGAGGGGTGTTTTTTTATTTGCTGATCATGTCATCAGCATGGTGCCACTTTGCAGGCTCACTCCAGCGCTCAGAGTGCTTGTGACCGTCGCTGCCACACATGATGTATTTCTAGTGCAACACGCTTACAATTCGAACAAGATCGTCATTCAACGCAGGAGAATCCGCACACATGAAACAAATCGTGTATGTATGAGGTAGTATTGTACATACCGCGACGGAGGAAAACAGCCAAGGCACCAGGTCGACGAGCACATCTGCTTCGACAGCCGTCACGTCATCTGTTGTAATCGTTGACCATGCAGTAGACCAAAGGCGAGGCGAGGGAAGGGAATTGGGATCAGAATCAGATCATCGCCAAACAAGACTGCCTCAAACACAACCATCACCCAACAACGGCCACAACAGCTTAGGATTCCACAAACGTAAGCTACTTCGAAGTCGAATAGGGGCTGCGCCCACTTTCGTCCGTATCCGCACCGGCCATGGCGAAAATGCCCATGGTTCAGCGGCCACCGCAAGTGGACTCAAAGTCTCCGGTGCAGGAGTAGTTGCAAGCGTCGGACTCGCCGTAAACGGTGTAACCTCGTCCGCAGTGCCAAAAAAGCACTTACCAACGTTCATGAATCCCAAGGGAGCCAAAACAGAACGAAAATGGTAGTTTCAGAGGAGGGGAACGGAGGGACTCGGGCATCTTTGCCGCGGAAACAAGGAATATATTCAGTCAGAAATATTTTGTTCCACCCACCTGAAATTTGCCCTACTGCTGCTTCACAAACCCCAACGACCTCTTCATCTCTCCTATCGTCTACGAACACTTCGAACTATTGACACGAAATGGAGAATCCTACTTGGACAATCACAACAACAGAACAGCGGTTGCACCCTTTCCGAAAAGAAAGCCGATTCACGGAACGTCTCCCACTCACTGTTTTCCATACTGGAGCCCAAGGTAGCGTGACCGACGCAGGTGGCCTTGCAGGTCCGCGCGATCGTAGCACGGAATGAAAGAAAAAAATATTTGTCAGGCGAATCACCGATCCTCTCGTAAGAAAGAGAGAAAGCGGCCAACGACGTGGCCGGTAAAGACTGCCCGGAAATAGAACACAAAGAGACGTGATGCAAAGTGGCAATGGAAGGGCGTCGAGGCCAGACTTCGTTAACACCGAGACGACAAAAAACGCAAACAACATGAAACGTGGTTGAAACGATGCAGAACAAGAAAAAAACTCCTCCTCGGAAAACACAATTCGTTTACGCATGTAGGGGTGCAACTCCGCCCAGCTCCCACACAGGCAGAAACTTGCCTCCGCACGGTTGTTGCTGGTGCTGGTGCTGCAAGTGGCCGAGAATAGCCTGGACCTGCATCCGTGTAGCAGCCAAGGTACGCCGTGGGCTGATCAACTATGTTAGATGGGGCCGGGGTAGGCTGATTCTGGGCATCAAGCTCATAGGCGTGGAATTCACGGTACCCCCCGCGCGACAAGCTCGCGTCGCCGGTGCACGGGTAGTCGCACTCGGACATGTCGAGCGCGCCATGCTTGTCGTAGTCCGTGCTTGCCTCTCCGCACCAACATCTGATATCGATACGAGGGGGGTCGGGACGCAGAGGGGGGAGCGTAGAACTCAGTTGTTGCGTGACTCCTGTGTACAGCACATGCAGAGTTCAGGTCATCTTACCATTCGCCGGATCGCATTTTGGTCCTCGTCATATCGCGTCACGGAGGTTGTGCGTCAAGGTGGAGGCGTGACCGGAAGTGGCGATGCGTGGTCAAGAATGGGCCGGTAGTTTTAGGAAGCGCGCAGTTTCTTAATGTCAGACCATGCACCAAAGTCTGTTGTTGGTTGTCCTTGTCAACGCCTTCACATTAACTATCCGTTGTTTCCCGTGACTCTTGCTTGATAGTGTTATAGCATCCAGAATGAGCGTCATCAGCAGAAAGCAATCTGCAATTTGGTTGGCGACTTTCGCTACTTCAGTAACAGGGTGTCGAACCGGCGCGTTTTTCTCCCTCGGACGTTGACTGTTGTCATCCCAACAGCTATATATCAATATGTACTCGTCTACGCATACTTCTCCTCTCGTCTTTCCCTGCCGAAGCCCGACAGTCTTCATACGGGCGAAGCGAGTCTCAACAGGACGGCGTTATCCATGTATGTGGAGGTGGTGCGACATCGACGACTCACTCCTTCCCATACTGGAGGCCGCAGTACTGGTAGCCTTCACCGAAACAGTGGATGGCGCACGACTGACAAGGGAACGAAAAACCAGCAGAGCTAGGAGGGGGAAGAAAATACAAGAAGCTAATGGGTAGTCATTTGTATTGATGTTATTGTTGTTATAGTGTTTGGTTTTAATGGTGGAAGAGGTATCGGCATCGCTTGTGCCGGACAATTTCTGCCTCGCGAAGTGCGTCCACTCCGTCCGCTGCTGCCAAGGATGAGTTTTGGAACCCAATCCTGCCTAAGGTAGAGCAAAACCATACAACGAGGGCCTTTTTCATTTCAGAGCACAATGTCCATTGAAGCGTGGACATGAGCTGCCTGAAGCAACGAAAAACCGCCAACTCGCTCTGTGGGGGGGTCGAGTCCTGCGGCTTTTCTTCTTGCGACACATTCACCCACAACCTATCGCCAGGTTGCACAAGAACGCGACGTACATGTGGTAGACAGCAGTAGTGGCCACAGACTTATTGGCACACTCGTCGACAGAGATACCGCCATGGCCATGGCATCGGGCGGATACGGCGGATACGTGCAATTGAAGGGAACCTCTGCATTATTGCTGAAAAAGTGTGAATGTGTGGTCGTTGTTGTGAACATGTTTTGAAGAAGATGCGCAGCGGAGGGGGATGACAAGGGGAATACTTCATGAGGAACACCTTTTCCTGCTCCAAAGGCAGTTATCGTTGGGTAAATGGTAGGGATTTCTTTTCCACGAAAAAGTATAACCTTCGGCTAACGGGCCCGCTGCTGATGAAACTCGATCGGCATGTGCACTTACATCTGGCGTCAGGTCGGTTTGGTCCATCAGCCCCTGATGGAATACACGGCTCCTCTTGTTGTCCAAGTAGAATCCCAGATCAATCGTCACCAGCCCCTGCAAGACAAACATCAGTGTTGTTGTGGACGGCGATCGACCGAGACGTTTTTCGCGTACAAGGATGAAAATACGTCGGGGCTATAGAAGCCAAAAATATAACCATTAGGCTAGTCAGAGTCGGCACTGACTAGTCTAATGGTTTGGCTTCGGCTTCAACAGTAGCTAGTCGTGGGGTTCGTGAGCCCCGTCACTTTCACTTCCGAGGAGGTCGACTAATTCCAATAGAAGCCGAAAACAAACTATTATACTAGTCGGAGTCAGCGTCGTAGTCAGCGCTGTAGCGCGGACTAGTCTAATGGTTTGATTTCGGCTTCTGTAGGGCACAAGGATGAATACACGCCAGACACATACCAAGAGAACCTTGACACGACGACGGGTAGGATCACTTGCAACCACTGCAAGCGACGAACAAAGAACTAAGAATACTGAAGGTTGAACACGTGATATTTATCTGGAGCGGGTGTGGCCAGTGGGCACGTGCGCTGACTCTTTACGAGGTTCTTGAGCCCAGACAATCCAGCCTTCAAATGGAATCCTGGAGCGAGAGAGCGCCTGTTGGTAAGAATGCGAAACTAGAAACCAAGTGTTGCTGAGCCCTTCTGGCGAAAACTGTTGCTCTCACCCTAGATATTGCCTAGATCAGCTAAGACGGGACAAAGGAGGAGAGTATATTTCTGATGCCAGGGTCGAGATAATGTAATCAGCCCCTCGACCTACAACGGGAGGGAAGATGACAATGTGGTTTTGGTGTCAAATCTGCGTACCGGCATCGAAACCAGGATACATGTTTATCTTCTTTCCTTTTCAATGGATAAGCCGAGGGACGGCTGGTGTGAAAACTGTGGCCAGCCGTCAAAACACATAATTGCCTTTGCTGATATTGTCTAAAAGAAGCTGGCTGTGAAGGCGACCGTTTATGAGGCTCCGCCAAGAGGCATGAGGGAGTGCAACGTACGGCCGTGCGTAGGTCGGCGTATCCCTGTCCGCAAACCAGATGCAAAAGCACACACACAAACAATAAATAGCGCTGCATCGCTGCACCTACGTGCTCACATGCACATATTGTCTGAGAAACATTCGCCAATAATGGTCACAATATTACCAGACACTTCCAAAATGTGATCCTTGACGAAATGAAAGATACAGCAAGATGTGTTCGCCGGCGACCCGCCAGCCTCTCTCTCAATGACATGCTGACCTTCAATGCGTCTCAAAAGCAGGACCGTGTGAATGGCGTGGGAAGTCGTGCCACATTGAGATGCGACCTCGCAAATTCTCGTGCGACAGGAATGTCTGAGGCAGCAGTTTTTCGGGTAGAGGTAAGGAGAATGCGGAAACACGACCTATTTAGCGAAGAATCTGTCGCAGCTTTGAACTCATCTTGTCCTCGCTTTGAACGCAGAACTCACGCCTCAGCCGAGGAACTCTCATGCCTCTAGCCAATCCTCGGCTTGTGTGTCGTGTCTGTGAAGAGTGGTGCATGACGATATACCACACCGGCTTGAATACAACGAAATAAAACCCTTCGACCACCGAACGATCTATTGGCTGTGTGATTTCGGCTCGATTGCGACGTTGGTTCGAATACTAGGTTGAACAATCAAGTTGGCTTTCCCCCTTGGTCCTGAACAGAACACTCTTGGCTAGAGCAACGTAGACGGCGAAGCTCCACGTCTGAGACACTGGACGTTCTGAATGTGAGTAATCAGTTGAGAAGGAGTCATGCCGAAACAGGACATGCAAGACGACATATGCGGAAATAGACATTTGATCGACACGCAAGCAGTAAATCTGGAGAGGGAAGCGACCCTCCTCCGGAGGGAGAACTGTCGGGCCCATTCGGACCCCACGACTTACTTCAAACGAAAATCGCAGCTTGTCTATTTAGTCCAATGATTGATTTCGGTTGCGTATCAACGCGTTTGAATGTTGGAGAATCGCCTGGATATTGTGGCTACTTGTCGTTCGGAATCGTCTCAGGTTCGGAGCGCGGGTTGACTGTGCAACAATAGCCACGACCAACACATAAAAAATGGTGGCGAGGACCACCTCGAATCGCATTGCCACGGTGTGAACCTTACAAGGGAGTGAGCGCAAGCACACGCAACAGGCCGCAGATAGTCGGTAAAGTTACAGTCAGCGCTGACTAGTCTGATGGTGTAACTTTATCGAACAACACATACGCGCTCAGCTCATCAGCAACCGGCTGGATCACTTGTGGGATTGGAATTAGGGATCTCCGGGGACGGCGGACCCCTCGCCAGACGCTGCCGGAAATTCAACCTTCATCCAGGTGGGATCAACAATGGCAGCTTGCCTACCGCAGAGCACTTTATCCTCACCTACAATAAAGTCGAGGTTGGCCACCAGAGACACCCAAGAAGGTCTTGCTGGACGAGCGGCGCGGCTAAACGGCCAACCTGAGGAGTGCCAGAGATAATGAAGTCGTTTCCCGGCGGGGATGAAATGGTTGTTACGCCGACGCAGCGGACCAGCGGCCGCTCTTCGGCACGAGCACCTCTCCCGCTCTTCAAGTATGGGAGAGAGCGAGGGTGCAATGCTTCGCGATAGGCCATGGTGGTGCTCTCGGTTTGTCCGAGGTGCATTGCTCCTCACAGTTTCAGGCAGTAATGCTCAAGGCTTCATGATGGCACCGAACGCAGGATGTGAGCTGCAGACTCCATATATATGGTGTAAGAGGAGGGTGTGTACCATGCGTGGGTACATCGTAGCGCAGCACGCGATAGAGGGATAACAGCAGTAGCTGTTGTCGCTAGAGAAGGTAACGTGGGTGCCGATGTTCTTTTCAGCTTACTCCAAGCAGATGGTGCATAATCCGCACGAAAGGCCTGCATGTGTGCTGCAGACATGTGCACGAGCCGCGTCAAACTCTCCCTTGGTGACAACCTGTGTTCATGGTGAACGTCCTTTCCTCAACGGCCCGCCACCAAAATTGGTGGTGCTCGGCGCATGCCTCTCTCGTGTGCGACCAAACGCACGGTCGCATCGCACAGCAGTGGTGTCGCTTTGCAAAGTGTCGGTGCAAAGTGTCGCAAACTACTGTAGGGGGTTTCGTGGTATGCGAGAACCGCTCTTTCTCTCAATACATCAACCTGAAGAGAGGATCCAGCAGCGGGGTAAGGCACAAATCTGTCTTTCCGTATCATCAGCATCGACACACACCTCCTCCTCTGTAAGGATGCGTGGGGCAAGCCGGCAAACCATGCCGACCAAAAAGCACTGAAGTACCCTCACATATTTTCACATGACCCTGCCCTCCCTTCTCTTGTTCTCTGCTGCCTGCCCCCTGAAGCCTTCTTTGCGGCTACCTCAGGTTTACATCGTGCGGCGAGTGTTTTGAAGTCGCTGCAGCCCTCAGCAACAAGAATAACGGAATCACGCGAAAACGCGTTGAGCGCGGTTTCCGTGGGGAAGGAAATCGATCCCGTGTACGGAGGAGAAAAGGCGGCCACCGAGGTTGTGGTCGTCGGGGCCGGGGTAGGGGGGCTGGCGACGGCCGCGCGTCTGGCGAAGGCCGGCTGTAGGTGCGTGTAAAATGTTACTGCTGTGGCGGTGTCGGTAGGGGCGATAGTGGAGGGGGAGGTGCCGATTGGCCCAAACCCTCTGCTTATGTCTTCGCTCGAGATTGCCGCGGCTGTTGAGATGTGTCCCTTCCGCCTTGATGGACTGGCCTTGAGTACCCTCTATGCGTGCTTTTTTTGTGTAGGGTGACCGTGGTGGAGAAGAATAGTGAAGAAGACATTGGGGGGAGGTTAAACGAGCTATTGATGGAAGGAGGATTTCGCTTCGACACCGGACCAAGCCTTCTTCTCCTGCCTGAGACCTACCGGGAGACCTTCGCAGGTTCGTTGCTGTCGTGATTGCCGTTGGGATATTGTTGTATTTTTGATAGATGTCGCTGCTGATATTTCTGTTGTCGTTCTCGTTGCGGCGGTTTCTTGTTCTTTCTGTTTCGGCTGCAGTTTCTGCTGCTGCTGCTGCTGCTGCTGCTGCTGCTGCTGCTGCTGCTACTACTACTATCTCTGTCATTGTTGTTACCATTGCTCTCGCTTGTTGTCGGTGCTGTTGTGGCTACCGATGTTTCCGTGATGTAGTTCTAATTGATGTGGTCTGTGAAAGACCTGCCTCCATGCCAGTCCAATATATTTGCACATACGAGAATGCCTACCAGACGCCGGGATATGTTCAGCAGTGTGCTCTGCTGTCGAACTCAAGATGCGACGACTGGTAGTGCCGAAAGCTGTCCTCTCGAGTTTTATCTGTTACGGCTAACTCTGTTGCTGCTTCTATGTACGATTCTGCTGCTGTGTGCAATGGCCCTGGCGCTGCAATTGGTGCGAAAGCACTCGGCCGCGACTCGGATGATTTCTTCGAGATGAGGAGAGTGTCGCCGACCTACAAGGTACCAGTCACTGCTGATGATGCTGCTGGTGCTTCTGGTGCTACTGCTGCTACTTCCGTTGTTGTTGTTCTGTGGTCATCGTGAAGCATCCTTGTTGGCTAAAGATATTCTACTCTCGAACCAGAATCCATTGCCGTTGAGGTGCAATGTGGTGCTGCTGCCACGGCCGGTTTGGTTATTCATGTCGAAGACGTACATTTCTCATGAGCCTCATCAAAGATGACAATCGCGCAATTGTTTCTCTTGTAGGGCCTGCCGAAGTCGCGTTTACGACACAACCGGTGTGTGTTGATCAGGTGTACTTCGACGATGGAGAGTCGGTGGACCTCAGCGACGACGAAGGAGAGCTGCGGCGTCAGATGGACAGGCTAGAGGACGACGGCTTCGACAAGTACAAAGCTTATCTCGATAGTGCCCAGCTGAATCTGGAGGTTGGTCTTCGCAGCGTGAACAGTAGTGTGTTCGTGCATGTGGCAAGTTTTTTTCTCCGTTTTCTTTTTGCACGTATGGCTTTTGGAGTGATATTGCAACAGCTGTGGATACGTGATTGGTGATGCCACGAACTTGAACCAAGGGACAATGCGGCATAATACGGGTGGTACAGAAGGACCGCCAAGACAGACCAAACTCAATATCTCAATGTCTACCTTCGCTCTCCGTCTGCGGTGTATTGCATGCCCCGGTTCGTAATGTTGCACTCTGTCCCGCCTTACGCTGTTCCAGGTGGGGCTGCCAAACTTCATCGAAGAGAAGTTTACCCCCGGGCGTCTTCCAGAGTTTGCCTTGGGCGCGCTGTTCAACTCTCCCCTGGAGAACCACTACGGGCAGCTTCGCCGGCGCTTTGACAGTCCCAAGATGAGGGCTCTTCTAAGCTTTCAAGACCTCTACGTCGGTGAGTAGTGTACATTCGACAGTCTGAAGAAGGGGACTCTCCTGAGCTTTCACATTCTCGACGTCGAGTTGACAGATCCTTGACAGAAGCTCTCCAGTCAAGTCGACAGCCCCGAGGTAATACTGTCCCGAGCCTGCAAGACAGCTACGTAAATGAGTAGAGTCGACAGTCCGGAGCATACATCTCTACATCGATGTGTCGAGTCGACAGCCCCGAGATAGATGCCCCCTTCCACAAGAATGAGGTCGTGTGTCATACGCCAATCCTCATTTAGCTGGAGAATATTTGCACTAAAGTGTGAATATCAATCCGTTTGTCGAGTTACCCGTACCGGCGGGCGCAGTGCTGTGGATCGTTCAGTTGTGCGATCGATGCTTTTTCTGGTTGTTTTCTCTTGGTAATCTTCCTGCTACTGTTGCCCTGTATCTCCATGAGTGGCGCCCCGTCTTTTTTCTTCCGCTGAAAAAAACACCTCAGGGCTTTCTCCATACAATGCCCCGGCAGTGTTCTCACTTCTGCAGGTGAGCACGACTGGATGGGGGAACTGCAACTTTGGGAAGGGATGATGGTTCTGTTTAATGGCTGGGGATGTATTCGACATTTGTTTATTGACGCGGGATTTCTGCTGTGTGTCGGGCTTAGGCTCTCCCTTCTGCCTTGAAATTTGATACGCAGGTCGGGGTGGTACGGGGGTGCTGGGTGCTCTTCACGAGCGCCATATTTTGCTCTACTGCTATTCATGAATAGTAGCAGACGAGGAAACACCAGAATCTTGGATGAATTGCGGCACCTGCCGCACGTAGCTAGGGTTGGATCCACGAAAATCACTCGTTGGGAACGAAAGTGTCAAGAAAATCTGCTAAGATGCTTCTGTCAATCTAGCTCGATACACGAAAGTATGTGACATGTTTGTCTACATGTGCCACATAAAGTGTTAGACATGAGGTAAAATCTTTGTCTCCGGCCCTACCAGTCCTTGCCACGGGCTTGCAATGCTCTCGTTGACGCGGCGAAACCGAGCGATAAAGCTCGTTCAAGGTGGGACACAGACGGAGGGTGGTATTCTGCGTCACGCACGCAGATGAACAGCTGTTTTCTTGAGTTGTAGATACGCCGAAGTTATGCCCGTATCCCGTCCAAGTATTCTTCGAACGTTAGCTGGGCAGGTGCACAATCCGTCCAACCGCGCCTCGAGCACACAATCGCTGCCCTACTCCACCCTCTCTACTACAATGACGGGCCCCGTGCACCTGGCGGCTTGCACGTAGAACCAAACCAGCCTTCATGGAATTTTCCACGCCCATCAAGTATATTCCCATCTTCCTCGTGCACACGCTCGTGCGCAAGCATTTTGGGCCATGTCTGTGCGGCCTTACAACGTGTACTCTTGGCCCTTGAAACACGGTTAATTCCCTCGGCCCTTGCACACCGTTCCCAGCACCTCTCCCACCCTCCAAGGACTCTCAACGGGTTGATCGGTTTGCGACGAAGTGCATTGCCTGATACACGTACATGGTGCAGGGTTTCTTAAAGGAAGTGAGATGCCATAGTGCAACACATGCACGGATGCGCGACCAAGCTACTCATGTCCATCGCTCAGCACGCCGACGCTTGTATGAGTCACGTCCCCTATTTTGAACTCAGTTTCAACAACACGAAGGATGGCCCGGCCTCAGCGAGCTCGAACCATGAAAATTGCAACATGTGTAGTACATGAGACTTCGCTTCCATTTGACAGCCTTGTGTACGCATTCTCAGGCGATCGAGCTGCGCGACGGGGTATACTACCCGATGGGGGGCTTTGCCAGGGTGGGAGAGGCGCTGGGAACAGTCTGCAGGGACCTTGGAGTAAAGTTTCGGTTCGACTCCCCTGTGTCGGAGGTGCGTGAATATCAGTGATTGCTCGAAGGAAGAAAGGCGCGGGACAGGCTTCTACTGAGGTCCTGAAGTGTGGTTGCTGTCGCATGGTGTACCTGAAGTTGTGTGTTCTGTGGCTGAAGGCGGTGGTGTGAGGGCTGATTGATCGGACAGCAGACGCAGGACCGGCGCGTGCAGAGGTCCTTTTTCGTTCAATCACTACAATCTTGTTTCATCGCTGTCTGAGGCACGTGGTCCCGATCGCTGACTGGTTGGGTACCAATCGACGGGGTCTGAGATGTTGAGGGTCGGATCGCTTGAAGGCATAGACTGTTGTTCGACTGGCTGTCCGGTGCCAGAGGTGCGTGCTGTAAACACTGATTCATCGGGCTACAAAGTCGGGGCCTGTAAGATGTTTTCTGTCATGTGTTCTCTAAGACTGTTTTCGAATTTTCTGTGGGTTCGTGTTTCGCCGGTTCCGATGACATATCGTCGTTGTTCTTGTCCTGTCGGGGTTCAAAAGAGGACGGGCTAATGGGTTGGCAGATAGATTGAATTGCTTGTTGCACCTGTTTTTTTTAGCTGCTGGAGTAATTTGATTCGAACAAGTTTGTTGTTGGTACCACTGCACATCACCCTTGTGAGACTCAGCATACAGCACGCATCTGCTCTACTCAGTCACAACTGATGTTTTGAGATCGGTTCTTGGCTACGTTGATTAGCGGACCCTTTCGACTAACCCCATCGTCGGTTGATACAGCAGTTGGGCGATTTGCTATTCCAGGTGCTCGTTGGTATGGGGTGGAGCGGTGTGCCGTTCTTCGCATGCGGAAAGGGTCGACTTATTCCATGGGACATCAAGCAAGCACGGCGGTCTCTGCACCAGCGTAGGAGAACGAGGGACAGTTCCACGAAAAGATACTGTAGTCTACCTGTGCGATTTCTCACCGCAGTGATCGATCTCCCAACTAGGTTGTCCAACCCTTACGTCTGTTCCGTCGATGATTGCCAAAGCGCACTGTCTTACGCTCAGAAGCTCGAGACTTGTAGGTATTTCTACACACTTTGCTCGACTTATTCCTAAACTGGTGCAGCACAGCTGACCGGCCGTCGTTTCCCAATTCTGCTGGACTCACCAAATGTGTTCAAATCACGGCCGGTCGCAGGTATCGGTGGTGGGAGAAGGCGGGAGGGTTAACAGCAAGGGCGTGGTTCTCGCGTCCGGGGAGGTGCTGGAGGCAGACGCGGTCGTGTGTAATGCTGATCTCCCCTACGCCGAGGAGGCTCTCTTGCCAGCCAGCGTGTCGCGCTCTTTCGAGGTATTTGCATTGAAATCCACTCCTCCCACGGTACTACCGCCGTTTGGAGTACACTGGTGTGCATTTCGCGTTCCCTGTCTCTGTTCAAGTAGTGGGCTCCGATCCTGGTTTTCACGGGAAATGACACCCCTGCTGTACTACGTGCCACGAGAAACGCTCCGGAGTTGCCTGCCTCGTGTGTCGTACAATGTCTGCCGGGTAACAGTAAGTTTGCGTCGGTGCCTGTTGAGGACCGTCTTTGATGGGTGTGACGGTCGTCTTTTCGATTGACGATGGGGTTCGCAGAAACAGGGAGAAGGATGTGGTCTGTGTGGTGCCTCCCTTAAAGTTTCTCCGCACTTGAGGGCGAAGATGGGAACAGGAGATACACCAAACTTCCAAATGTTAATGTAGGACGTTCGAACATCGCGCCCGAGCGCTGCTATTGTATAGTGGGCGCCTACGTCTGATCTCAACCGGTTTCTCTTGTCTACCATCTCCCTCCCCGTGTCTTCCACTCCGGGCGTCGCCCTGCTATCCTTTCTGGCACCCCACGCTCCCGTGTCCCTCCTTTCGACTCAACCTGTCTTGCGTGTCTCGTCCCTCCGTGTGCCCGCCGTTATTTGTCGCCGGGACGCCAACGAAACGACAAACTAAGAACTCGGAATACTCTACGAGTGTCATCGCGTTCTATCTCTGCAGCAACAGGAGATGGCCGCAGCTGTCGCACCACACCGTCTTTCTCTCGACCGATTGGAAGGCGAGCTGGGACTCTGCCTTCGGAAAGCTCCCCGGGGGAGAGCTTGGCGAGAGGTTAGGCCCACGACCCATGGTTGTTGGTTATTGTGTAGCACGATGTCAAGTAAAACCCTGCAGACCGTCGCCTGGCGAAGATCTATGCACATCTCCGGAGATGGCAAACTGCGCCGACGTTGTGGTGTGCTACCAAATGTTTCGGCCACCCTTCGTTTCCTTACCTCTCTCGGCCAATCTCTCCACTTTGATCACTTCGTGACCTTTGAATTGTCGTACCATGTCACCCGTTCCGGGGCGCACTACGGCCGCTTTCTTTCCATGTATCTATCGTCCTACAGCCGTGCGGCATCGCTGCGAACCGAACCCCCCGCCCCAAAGACACGGTACCACCTCGACTTTTAGGTTCTCAAACTCCGAGGCTGCCACCCTCCGAAAGGGACAAAACTACCGAGTAGGGACTATCGCAAATATGTTCAAAATGCTGAAGAAGGCATGCTATTTTCTGGAGTGTAGGAACCGCGCTTTGTCTCGAAAGGGGTTGCCGTGAAGGCTGAACTGACTGAAGAGCAACGAAAATGAGGACGCCACCCCCGCTCCCCCCACCGTCGCTTGAACCGAAAAGCTTCAACTTTTACGCGGCAGCGCCCGCTCGCACGGACCCTTCCGTGTGTCCAGAGGAGAGCGACGCCATCATGATTCTCGTTCCATGCCCAAGCATACCGGACGACTACACGGGGGAAATCGATGACGGTGCCAGCGCCAGCGCCCGCGCCACAAGAAACGGAGGGGGCCCAGACAGGGAGGACTGGGTACGGCGAGCAAGAGAGGGCGTGATCCGCGAGATGGAGGCGTCTGCGGGGATGGAGGGGTTCGGGGACAGTATCGTCGGCGAGGAGGTGTACGCACCCTGGAACTGGCGAGATCGGTGAGCGGTCCGTTGGCGTCGTAATCTGCGTCGTTGCCAACGCTATAGTTGTTGTTTCTGCCGCTACGACTGCTGTTTTGTCCACGTTGAGTATCTTCAATGGCCTCGAAACACCCGCCCCCCTCCCTGTCCCCCACACATCGGACTAGCCACACCATGATACTTTGCCGAGATAATACGAAGCTACTGTATCTTGCGACGGAGCCGTGGGGGTCATCATTGGTGGTAGTCATCACGGGAGGCGGATCATAGCGTTTGGTCCGTTGGTCTTTACGGGGTCTTTTCCCGCAAACCATCGAAGGAAGAAAACAACAATCACAGCAACAGAGTTGTCGTCGATCGGAAGTGAATCAGATTCAGGTGGCCATCGAGCCCACCGGCGCCGGGATATGATCGGCTACGTCTCAATTGAACGGTTATTTTTTCTGTTTCGGGAGTTACAGGCGGCGTGCGTATTCCCTTTTCCCACTTCTTTTGTAAGGCGGGAGGGGGCTCGTGACGTGTGGTTAACCCGTCGTGGACGAGTCAGTGGTCGAGTCGTTCCGTGGACGGTGTGTGTGTGTGTGTGTAACGGCTACGACCACCTGGCCCATTGGAACTGCTGGGATTACGGATAAAGAGTTGAAAAACGGCTTCGGGAAAAACGGTTTGAAACGGCGTTTCCCGCCTGCAGCTTCCACGCACACACACACGCCACTCCCACCCCCAAAAACGCAACACGACTTTCTTGTGCCTGTGCGTCCCGCGACAGGTATAACCTGCGACGGGGCGCAGTATTCGGCCTGTCGCACGGGCTGAATCAGCTGTCCCTTCTCCGGCCTGGTCCCCAGCACCCAACGGTCAACGGCCTCTGGTTTTGCGGAGCGTCGAGCCGGCCCGGGAACGGGGTGCCTCTCGTGTTGATTGGCGCGAAACAGGTGGCGGCAAATGTTCTCAAGGTCGTGGAGGGGGGAAACACCTAGCAGACCTATTTGTTTGTTGACGGTCCGGCGTGATTGTCATCTGGGGCACTCATTGCATACCCTTCCCCCCCTGTTCTGACGGGTTGAGATAACTACCATCGAACACGCGAAAATCGTTCTTTTGGAGCGGGAGAAGGGCTGTTTTGTTTTCGTTGACACTCGTCTTGGCGATTGCTGCCGAACGCACGCCCCCATGTCCACGAGTGCGACTCGATACTCGTGGACCAAGTGGACGTTGCTTTGTGTCAAGAGTGGGCCTTCACGCGGTTCCCACCAGAGGGGACGAATAGCCTGAAGTTCCTGTATCTTGGATACGTGGGAGGACGCGTTTTAATCATGTTGACAATGTCCTCGAGGAGGAAAGCTGCTGAACCGCGTGCGACGAGTGAGTGCGCTGGGGGAAGCACGGACAGAGCTACCAGGAGAAAGGATTACATTCAGCCCTCGGGTGGCTTTGATAAGTTGGTCAGCGCTTTTTCCGGAGAGATATCGGTTTTCTTTGCAAGAGAACACGTCAGCGTCAAAGCTTGCTGCAGCAGTGTGGGTGTTGGCCGCTACCGCTGACGAGAACGCTCAAGGGTAGTAGTCCTGTTACACTCTGAACCACTCATGGATCGCTATAGGGGATGTTGCCGGTAAACGTTAGTTGACCACAAGGTCTCTCACATCTACCGCAGATAGAGCAGGGGTGGAACTCATTGTAGAGCACACGTCTTAAGTCTACGTCAAAGATCGCTAGGCCTCCATCAGCGAAAACATGGTGGTGACTTCGCCCAGGGCACGCTTTTGCCAAGGCGCGGCCGTGATTCTCAACCTGCATCCCCCCCCCGACCTTTCAAAGTTCAAGCATAAAGTAGGCGTACTCTCGACGGGACATCCCTTCATCAGCAGCAAATAAATAGACCACCACACAAACCAAGACCACATTTTTTCCATTGAAACCTTGAGACTACTCCGGTAAAACTTACACAGAAGAAATTATTCCAGAGATTGAAGGTAACAATCGCCTACACTCATAAGAGGTATTTTCTGCATTATTCTCGATAGGACGAGGGTAGGTCGCGGAGGACCTCCGTTGTACTGCTGTTCGTACTGGAAGTCGGGCCATCCCGCGTTCTGGATGCGATCCCCACTGAATCCACTGACTGCCTTTTGCCGTACTAAAAAACAAACCTCCTGAGATAATGCAAAGACCTCCACCGATGTAGATATCCCAACAGCGTGCAGGGATTGAAAGGTGTCGGTTGTACTAAGGTGAGGTTGATTAGGGCCCATAAATTGATAGGTTGTACTGCACGAGAATCTAGGTTGGCACGAGGCGACGGTATTGTAATGGACCGCGCCGGGGTGGCGTGCCAAGACGTACCCGTACCGCTCTCACATACCTCTCCTTCTTCTTTTCGAGGAACGTGGCTAGAGTTTGGCTGCCGTTCTTTTCACCAACAGAGGGGAAAACACCTTCTTTTCCATTTCGTTGTCTCTGGATTCTTCAGGACAGAGCCGAAGCCACATCATGTCTACATTATCTACGGCAGTATTGCGGCAATGAGAGATGATCCGGGGATGAAAAAACAGATCTTCGCAGGCACACGTGCACATAGACTTAGCGCATTCGAACCGCGCAAACACATCATCATCACATCTCCCTTATCTGCTAGCCCGCCACAATAGCCAGCACCCGGACAGCGTGGAGAAGCATTTCCAGAAGCGATGGCCAACGCGTCGCGAAGGATCCAGGTCGCCACCGCAGCGGCGGTCTGGCCTGTCAGTGGTCTGGGCGGAGTCGACGCCGAGCTGATGATGACCAAGATCAGCGACTACCCTAACCCCGACGAGGAAGCCGCAAGCTACGAGGTTGTCATCGTGAAGCCCTCTACCAACGTGAGTAGTAACATCTTCGGCAGGCTGGTGTAGTCGCCAGCGGGAGCGGGGAATGCGCCCTAGCGCTGATGCTAGCTGGCGTGCTCGCACCGAGCGCTGGCGGTGGCGGTGGCGGCGTTTGGCACTTTTTGGGAGTTTGCGGGGCAAACAGAAACCGCGAGCATCAGAGCAACCTCTCACACACAAGTCGCCGGTAGATCGACCCCGCGGCCCGAGGTGACTTCACCTCACACGCCCTTTCGCTGTACGATGAGGCTGACCTTCACGGCAGATCTACAACCGACTTACATAGCTAGACAGCACGCACCAATATTCCCAGCTATGGTCTGATATCTTTGTCTTGCCGCTGGTCACAGGTCCCGCAGACGTGATGTGGGTGAGCGTTCAAGCAACAAATAAATGTCTGTTCGGTTGCACATCGACATCAAGGGCATTTACGTATTGATATGCGACTGCACAGGACTGCCGCTTGTGTTACACAGGAGAGCGGGGTCATGTTTGGGATCGAAAGATGGATAACTCGTGTTGAGTTGCTTTGTGCGTCGGTGCCTTGGCGCGCGGGGTCCCTTGGTTAGGAAATAAAAGGGCCAGCGGCGCGGTAGCCGCCAGCGGTACAACTGTAGTAGTGTAGGAACTATGATGGGCGTGACAGCCTTCTACTTTGGGATGGCGCGTGATAGCTCGGGTATGGTCTCTGGATGTGGCGTGGAAGCCTGGTGACGTGATGGTCGTGGTATAAAGGTATAGTCTAAGTAAGGACGTGGATGTCCGGAAGGCGTGATAGCCGGTGGCGTGATAGCCAGGATTGGCGTGGAGGTCGTGGCGTGATAGCCGTGGTAGCGTTATAGCCGGGGGGAAAGGACATGATTGGGGACAGGAAGGAGGAAAAAGAGGGAAAAAACAAGTGAGGAGCCACAACACACAATCACCGTGTCCGTTGTAGACACACACATACCCCCACCCTAAATCCTGTAATATGCGGCAAAGTTTTACCACCAAATCTAACCCAGAGCCCAGAGCAACTTCTGAAGAACCCCCAAACTCCCCGCTCCATCTACTCGGGAATTTCTTGCTTACAATAAACTGTCGATGCTGTGAGTACGTCTAACAGCCCCCCCACTCTCTGCATTGACAAGACTACACCCGGACTTTAATATTATATCCTTATTATCCTCCCATACCACATACATCCGTGATCGAAACAAAATTTAGTGCAATACCTCCCATGCCACATACGTGACCGAAACAAAATAATAGTGCAATACCTCCCATACCACATAGTCTACATACGTGACCGAAACAAAATTTAGTGCAAAACATTCCGTTCAGCTACTAGACCCCGAGTGGGGGGAGTTTTTTCCGCGCGCACCATCACAACAGCATAACCCGTGCTGCGGAAAGTACCTGCAGTAGGCTGGGTCGTGCGCCCCCCGTGAATATGTGTTGCTTTTGTTTTGGTACACACACCCGAAATGTTGTTGATGCGATGTTGTTGATGCGAATCGTTGGTGTCAGCACTCCGTATGCGTTAATAAATAAATGAAGAAGTACCAATATATGCCCCACCACGCAGAACACAGCAGCAGCAGAATATTTGAACAAGCACGCGATTTGTCACCGATCGCGAGCCCCTCCTCACTACGCCCTGTCGTGGTCTGCAAACCACACGCGAACACCCTCTGTGATA